GGTTAAAATGAACATCCCTACTTCAAATATATCAGGGCTTTACTGAATTGACTTAAAGTGAATGTTTTAGTTGTAAACCCAAGCTCCTATCCACTGCTATTGGTTGTTGTTTAGTCCTCTTGCGGAGGTCAGTTTGTCTCTTTTTATAGAGGCTGCATATTCTCCTGGCACTCAGTGCACTTTTGTTCTACCTGTTTTTACTCGTTACGTGCAGCCTCAGTCTTTCAGACGAGAGAAAAGAGCCATTATGCTCATCAGCTGTCTGTTACACAATGCACTCAAACCTATTAAGAAGGAAAGACAAAGCAAAGCTGTTTTCCCCCCCCACAGTTGGCCATGTTGAATCAGCAGAGCCACTGGTGACATTGCTACGTGTTCACCATTTTGAACAATCTGCGTCCCGAGAGCCCGTCGACTGTATATCCTCTGCCTTTTGTCCTGGGTTGATGAGAAGTGCTGGTGCTCTGGTTTGCACCGGCAAATAAAGGACTAATGTTCGTAAGCAGAGAAGACACGAATGGCAGTAATGGTGTAGTTCGGGACCAGGTGTGGCATTGTGACCGAATGTGTGCCGAGAGACTCTAATGTTGCATTTACGCTGGCCACTTGACATGCCCTTAGAATTCAACAACTCTCTTTGAAAGTGAATGGCTTTTGCAAATCACTGTGCTCGTAAACAAACTTTAAGGCTCCTGTTATTGCTTAAAAACTGTTGTTCAGCTGAGACACAGTGCTGTTTAGATCTAAATGTAGAACCTAACCTAAGGATGCGTTTTCATCCGATATTGTTTTATTTTTTTCATTTATTCGCTTTTATGGTTTTTGTTATGTTTCTTGTTTTTTTTTTTTTTTTTGGTTTGTTTTCGGTTTGGTTTGGATTTATTTTTAATTAGTTTTGTTTCTTTTTTTGTTTCTTTTTTAAATTTTATTTGCTTTGTTGGTTTGTTGTTTTGTTTGTTTGTTCATATTGGTTATTTATTGGTTATTAAATGTAATTCTTAGCAGATCTTAATATGAATATCCATCTTTCATAGTGTACCATGTTGTAATGCCTAAATTCAATTCAAGTTTTAAATTGAGCAGTTTTATGTTTTGCATTATCTTTAATATCAATGATTTAGTGGTTGTCGTCCATAGCATGAATACAATTATCAGCTTATCGGTATCAACCAGAATTTTAATATCAGTGCATACATGGTAATACCATGAATTCTGATTATTCGATTATAAGGAAACTGGATTTGTATTTGGAGACCAGCTGTAACCCTATTCCTAACCTCTTAAAGACTATGATATTCAGGCTTCACTTGATGAAGCATATTCTTACCTCTTCCAATTTCTTCCCACGATAGGAATTTTCTTGCAACACACAACAGCTCTGTCATGGAATTTGCACAGGAATTCCTACAGATTTCTGTCCCGTGGCCCCATCTTTTTCTGGCTTACTTCCAGCTCTTTCGTCAAATATGGGCCCCCATCTCTTCAACTAAACTGATCAAAATCTGTCACTTTAATCACATCGCACTTCACTTCCCCCAGAAGCCGCACCTGCCGGCCATTCAGTCGGGCTTGTAGCCATATAAGGGATGTGGCATGATCCTCATGCTGCTCATTTGTAATCTGAGATGGCTCCTTTTAGGTTCATTATTCTGACAAAAATGAAAGGTCAAGTAGCTGTCAGTTATATTTCTGTATATATAGAGCATTGATCTTGTTTTGGTTTAGCACTCAGTGGAGATGTTGCTAAGCATTTAGACACATGGTAAATGGTTGCTTACTTCAAAGTTACATGCTCCAAAGTTTCTATTGTTGTTTCCTGTTTTAGCTTAATGCTGTCAGGTCTCTACATGCCTTAGTAAATGTCAGGTTATATAGTCTAGAGGCACAGTGACCCATTTGGCAGTCCTCCATTGTGGACTAGTTTACATGTTGTGTTTTCGGAACAATAAAATAATTCAAGTATGCATAGAATATTTTTATGCACACTTGAATGTTAAGTGATAATATCAAAGTAAACCCTAGAATGTGAACTTCCTGGTAGCTTCCAGACACTGTCTATCAGATAGTAATCAATAAAACCTTTTTATTTTGTTTTTTGTATTTGATATTTTATTTTTGTAGTTTAATGTTATTGATCAGTCATTTAAAGTTTTTAATAGGCATACAATTTTTCTCACAAACTTAACCTTTGACACTATTTAGACACACTAGTCATTCCTGAAACTGTTTACCTTGTTACAGTGAAGTCAACTTGGTGACCTCTATGGTTTCTCAGCTGGATTTAAACATAATGGCACGAGCTGTTCAACATTCTTAACGCAATAAAAAAAAAAAATCTATCACGCCAAAGTGCCATATATTTTGCTTTGCGTGTAGTTTGTCGTCTTGGATATCCTACAGTTTGAGCAGGTTAAGTATATGTACTAATCCAAAGCGTCTGTCCCTCCCTCCATCTTGCTTCAGGCGTGGATATTGAGGCGGCCAGGAAAGAGGAGGAGCGGATCATGCTAAGGGATGCACGACAGTGGCTTAACAGCGGTCATATCAACGACGTCCGGCACACCAAGTCTGGGGGGACCGCACTGCACGTCGCTGCAGCCAAGGGATACGCTGAGGTTTTAAAGTAAGTTTGCTTGCCTTCAAAAGAAAGATTTTGCCATTTTCCATCCAGAAAGGATTCAACGGACACCTGGGATAATATTTGTCTTTATTCTTTTGCCAGCAAGTGAGATTTAGCAGCTAGTGAAGGTAGAAACAAATTAAACTGGTACTGCAGGTGTAGAGGCTTTATTGCTTAACTTAGTTCATCCCATACCTCACCTTTCAACTCTTTCAGTATCCCAAGGGTCTTGTACACAGGGCGAGACAGTTTGTAACCTGTTTATCTGTCTCAATTACAGTAGATTATCATGAGCTGTTGAACAAACACAGCTCAGGACGTGTGTCAGGAGTTAGGAGTTTATGGTGCTTTCGGTTGTGGATGTCAGAGTTGAATGACTGTGACAACTGCTCCATTTGCCGCTGCACTAAAACAAGAGGATTGTAACCGGATAGACTGTTCTTTTTGTGTTGAATCTCAGAAAACTTCAACTAATGCGTATTTTTATGTGTGACGACTAACTGTTGGCATGTATAACCTGCCTTCTAGGCAATGGAAAAATGAACCCGTTGGTCCACGTAATATCCCAGACCTTTGGCAAATGAGGCCAAGCTTAGATTGCGGCACCAAAATCCAAGAAACCCAGATTTGTCTAATCTCATCATGCTATTTCTGTCGCTCTGACTGGTTGCAGGCTTTTAATCCAAGCAGGGTATGATGTAAATATTAAAGACTACGATGGCTGGACTCCGCTCCACGCTGCTGCACACTGGGGCAAAGAAGAGGCCTGCCGGATACTAGTAGAGCATTTGTGTGAAATGGACATTGTCAATAAAGTGGTATGGGATTTATGGTTCTGTCTGTGTGCTGCTAGCTTCTGTGTAGTCTTTGAGTTGAACCCTTACAATGTTGCGTTTTGGTTCTCAGGGTCAGACGGCGTTTGACGTAGCTGATGAAGATATCTTGGGATATTTAGAAGAGCTGCAAAAGAAACAGAATCTGGTAATTTCTCACTTCTGGCATCAGATCTTCAATTGTAAATGTAATTCTGAGCCTTGTCTTGATGCGTTCTGTGTTTGTTTCAGCTTCTGAGTGAAAAGAAGGATGTTAAGAAGTCTCCTTTAATAGAAACTACGACTACTGGGGACAATAATCAATCTGTGAAACCACTGAAGAGGTAAACGGCTCCTGCCACCACCATAATGGAATTGATATACTGTTTACTCAATGTCTTGACTTTACCATGAATGTCAAGGCCACTTGCACTAGGGTTGACTAGGGGTGCTTTAACACTAGAACCTTAGGTTTGGATGTTTGCCATCAGAGTTTGGTTGATCTAAGTGGTTTTTCCAAACTTGGGTGCGCAACAGCAAATTCTACCCTAGTCCGCTTGAAAAAGCAGTCTGGGGTTCAGCTGTGGTACTTAAAGGGATAGTTCACCCAAAAATGAAGTGCCATTAATTACTCACCCTCATGTTGTTCCAAACTCGTAAGACCTTCGTTCATCTTCGGAACACAAATTAAGATATTTTGGATGAAATCCGAGAGCTTTCTGACCCTGCTTAGACCCTCTTGTGAATGGTGGCAAAGACTGACCCGGAACAGAAGAAATCATTGAACAAACTCCATCTTTCCACTGCAGGAAACACAGAGGCTGCATCTGAAATGGCATTATATGTAGACTGTTTGATGAAATTGAGGTGCCATAAATGCATTTACACTGCAAAATTTCAAATGCATAAATAATTTTATAAGATTAATGTTTTAAATATTTTTTAAATGCCTGAATAAGAAATGTTGGGAAAAATACAATGATACTTTTAAATATGAAAGCAAACCACCAGTAGGTGGCGGCAAATGACTGTTTTAATGAGGGAGTCACTTAGTCATTCAACCGATTCGTTTCAAACAGCTGATCCATTCACAAACGAGGCAAGTGACTACTGTCTTCATCAATACATTATAAGTCGCCGTTTACATTGAATGCAATAAAATCAAAAGAATCACTTTCGTGCGAAATTTTTTGGTGGCCAGGTTTTAGTGCTACCCTAGTTGTTTTTGTTATTGGCATTTGAATAAGGCTTCTTGTCCAGTCGGGCTAGTAAAATTTTCTCTCACTTGCCCCAGAGAAGCATTAATCGAGCCCTGTGGTTCTCCCACAGTTAACTTTTGCCTTACACATATTACAAGTTGCGAACTTTGTGTCTTCTTCACTCACAGTGAAGAACTTCCACGCCGACTACATCCGGGCCGATCATGCGGAAAATTGGCTAATTCCGGTCCCTGGCCGGTCAATCGGTGCATCTCTAATTTGCACTTCAAGGTATATATATATAATGTATTCAAAGAATTGAATTTCCAAGGAGATGTCCTTTCTGTAGTTTCGGTCTTCCTGTAGCTCAGCTGGTAGAACATGGCCAAACTATGTCATAACTGATTGTTTCTACATAACCTACCCAGTACCCACAAACAAACAATGCGGTGTCATAATCGGAGTTTTGAGAAGGTATTTTTTTAACATTCAAGAAGTCATTTTTGTAGTAATGTTTTCCTGCCATCACAAGCCGATCTTGATCTGAAGCATAAATTATAATAAAAATGAATAGCGAGCATTTTAATAATTAAATTATGAACTTTAAAAACCTAATTAATATATTATTATTTTTTTTAATTTAGACAAAAACGTGCATCAAGTATCTGTTTCTTTTGCTGCTGCTGCTGCTTTTTGATTTATTTCATTCAGGGGTTCGTTCTCCCTTTTCTTGCTTTTCTTTTCTTCACAATCATCTGTTTTTCTCTCTCTACTCATCTTTGCTGTTGTCTTGGATGGCTTTAGTCTGATAACATTACTGCCCTTGTGCCTGGGGGGGAGCCAGGCTGTCCTGCGTTGTGGCGTCAAGGCTTGCGCAAAACTGGCATTTCACTTGTGCCCAAAAAAGCGATGGTGAGGCCTCGGTGTGTTCAGCATTGTGATTCCCGCCCACCCTATATGTTCCCCCACATGACCACGTCTCTAACCAATCGGATAACTGCCTAATCTAAGACCATTTCCTCTTCCTGTCACTGGCTCACTGCATGGTGTTGTCGCTGTCAGTCACGGCTGTGCCTGTGATGACGTGCTGTTTTCTGTTGAAAATAATTTGTTATATTTTTATACCTGAATGTGGTGGACTAAATATGACATGGTGACTTCAAAGTTGTGTGTACTTTGATAAAGGTGAATTGATTGACTGTTGACTCTAAACCCTAACAGGTCACCAGGATGCTGATGAGTTAGCAAAAACTAACATCTTGATTGAAATTGGGCATGTTTGGTTTTGTCATCTGTGTTGTTATTGAGTATACTCATCTTAAGCCTAGTTTTCTTTTAAGTAAACAATTGTAATACATGTTTGCTTTTCTGAAGCAATGAAAACCACTAAATAGTTCAAAATGGCCTCCACGTGTTTCCCTTGAAGTTTATTTTTGAGTTTTAGCAGCATTAGACTTGACCGTTGATTGGTTGATTAAACTAGGTATTTATTTATTATAAAATATTTATTTATTTTTAAAAATAGCTTTTTATTTTTAAAGCATTTTGTTTGTCAGTTTTATTTACAAGATATGGTCACAGTTTAGTTTGTGAACCAATTCACACTATAAACAGTTTTTTCCTTCAAACTTTTAATTAGCTGCTTATTAACAGTTAGTATTGTAGTTGTTATTACATTTTTGTGTATTATTATGTGCTTCATAAGTACTAATAAGCAGCCAATATGCTAGTAATATTCATGCTAATTAGCAACTAGTTAATAGAAAGAATTGCTCTCTAAAGTGTTACCTAAAATATTTATAATTTTTAAATGTATAAAAATATATTTTTTATTTTATTTGTTTACTTTATTACCACTATTTAGTATTTCTATCTATTTTTTTTGTAATTTTACATTTTTTATTTATAAAATATTGTATTTTTTTATATTTATATTTATTGCAAATTACCTTGATTTTTATTAAAATGGTTTTGTGTTTAAGAATATTTACAACATACTATATATTATTTTGTTGGCAGTTTAAAATAAAGAGTTATGTTTTTTTGTTTGTTTTGACCATTACGTTTCCTGAAGAACAAGCTTTTCAGAGCATGTACATAAATATTGTTACTTATATTTTTTTTAATTCTGAAAATATCAAAAGGTTGCCCAGCCCTACAGACCAGTGCTCCTATATTTATGCCCTGCTTTGAACTGTCAGGCTGATTTGAATTCCCCGTTCTCTCTCCCGCACACATGAACAATGTTGATTTACAATGTGTGCTCTCGGTGGTCTAGTAAATTCCATCACTGCACAAGTGTGTGCTCTAGATATTCTTGTGATCAAAATATTATGCGGTTGGAATTTGGGCTTCTCAGATGTTGACATGCCCTAATTGGAAATTGCATAGAACAATCTTGATGTACTTCCAAAACGAACTAACTTTTGTTTTCCACCCCCATCCCTTTCTTTATCTGTTGTTTGTCCTCCTCAGGTGAGCACACCTGCAGGGAAGGTGTCTCCTAAAGAGGAGGAGAGGAAGGATGAGTCTCCTGCATCATGGCGACTGGGCCTGCGGAAAACCGGCAGTTACGGAGCGCTGGCAGAAATCAGCACAACTAAAGAGGCACAGAAAGAGCAGGACACAGCCGGGGTGATGCGCTCGGCCTCTTCTCCTCGCCTCTCATCCTCACTGGACAATAAGGACAAGGAAAAGGTCTACTAGAATGTAGTTGTTTAATTTGGGGTGAAATATTCAGTTTAATTGGAAGGAGGAGAAGTTTAAATTCAATTCTTGAGCCACAACAACATGTCTTCTTCACAGGAGAAGGAGAAGACACGTCTGGCGTATGTTGCACCAACCATCCCGAGGAGACACGTTAGCACATCAGACATCGACGAGAAGGAAAACAGGTAAAGAACAGACACATGCTTATTTGTGCATTTGTGAGAGCACCTCTTGCTGCTCCATGTTGTGTGTTGCAGTATGAGAATCACAAGCTGAAGTGTAGCATGATTTTGTGGCTTATGCACCACATTCATGTTGTACGTGAGAAGAATATTACTAAAGAGGGGGTTAGGTAGTGTCCCGTGTACTCTCAAACAGGGCCTAAAATTAACACTCGCCAAGCGCCAAATGCGAGTAAAAATCGGCGTTGGCGAGTCCATGTAACAGTGTCAGTCGCCAGTTGGCGGGTACAACTTTTACGAATTATAACAATGCAATGAAGTGAAAACAACAGCCAGTTTTTAAAGAGATTCGCTGTTTCTGACATAAGCGAATAAAATAATCTTTTCCGAAGACAAGATCATCGTGATTAGCTATTCTGTCATAAGCGACCAGAGCGAATCGAATAATAGGATACAAACGGACTGATACGGTCAGAGCAGTGTGATGACCAGCTTGTCCCTAGACACGACGGTTCTAATAACTTTTACCTGAGAAGATTTTGCTGCTTCATTTCGGAAGATTAACTTTTCCCTTATTTTTTCTTCATAACCAGAGAATGTGGCGAGTGGCGACACATACCTGGGGTTACGCCGCCTAAACGGTGCAGTGAAGTATAGTTTGAAAAGCTGCGCGTTCGGCTGGAGTGCAAGTCTGAGAGTGCAAGTGCAAGGCTGCAGCTAGACTCTCTTGACGAAAACACACACAATTATGTCAAAATGCGCGGTTTTGGCGAGTTACCTTGTAAACGTAGTCTTAAGTGAGTTATAAAGTCTTAAATGACCGTAACGAGTTGGGAGAAAATCGGATACGTGTCAGATCCGCGTCATATGCATCGGGTTTTAAAGAGACAGCGCTGATTTTAAAGAAAAATAAATCCTTGGACTGTTGTAGTCGCTGATTAACTTTTATAGCTTGAATAAAGATTAATCTGTATAGTTTATGCATATATAATATAGTTTAAAAGATTGTTTTAAAATCACTTAAATTAAAAGTTGTTATATATTTCAGAGCCTATTAAATGTTAAAAAGAATGGCTTTCAATTATACTGTAATTTTGAATGGCTATAATTAATAGGTCAAATTGAGGGAAAATGCACCAGCAGGACAAAAACATTGCAAATATGTTTAGTTATTGTAGTAGTAATAACTGCCTGTTTTTGCAAAAAGAGTTTCATGGCCGGTAAAAAAAAAATTTGGCCAGTAAATTTTATCATGTCACCAGCCATTGGCAGGTGTGGCAAAAAGTTAGTTTTAGGCCCTGCTCTCAAATGTCTTTTATTAGTATTTCTCCAACTGCTATGAACGACAGTTCAGTAGAAGTGAGTTAGTTTAGTATTGTAAAAGATGGTTCTCTGGAATCGGAGGTACTATTTGTAGCATGTGGTTCTCAGGGATTCGGCTGCTAGTCTGGTACGTAGCGGCTCATACACCAGGAGACGCTGGGAAGAAGACCTGAAGAACAACGACGGAACTGCCTCGCAAAACAGAACCTCCAGCTATCAGCGCAGGTTAGCTTTTATTCTAGTAACAAAATTGGTTTTACTGGCTAGGACTTTCAAAGAGATGGGCGAAAGCCGGTCGCTGTTTCCTGCGGCTCTCTGAGATGCTTCTAGCACTTTTATCTTGCTGACAAGCGTTTATAGCTGCTTCTGTCGGCTTGAGTTTGCGTGAGACGCATATAAATATAATATAAATTCCTAAAATACAGAGGCAGCAGTATTTTCATGCATGCGTTTATATTGTGTATAGTCAATTGAAAAAGACATTGAAAAAGCAATTATGATATTAGATAACATGTTATAATATGTCTTTATTAACACTGTCATTTGGGGTCAATAAGATCAAATCAGCATATTGGGCTGATTTTTGAAGGATCATGTGACACTGAAGACTGGAGTAATGATGCTGAAAATTCAGCTTTGCATCACAGGAATACATTACATTTTAAAAATACAGAAAATATAGACATCAGTTATTTTAAAATGTAAAAATATTTCACAATGTTACTGTATTTTTGCTCAAATAAATGTAGCCTTGGTGAGCATAAGAGACTTCAAAAACATAAAAAAATCTGACCGACCCCAATCTTTTGAATGATAGTAAGTTTAAGTCATACTGTATTATTAAGTCAAAACTATATGCAGATTTGTTTATTTATTACAGTTTCACACTCGAGCTGTCAGTAGAACAAAATATAATCTGAAAAATTAATATCATGATCTTCGACCAGTCTTTAGAAATCGAATTGTGACAGTACTTTAATTAAATGTTTTAAATTATTAAATATACATATATGTAATTAATATTTAGACTTCACATGCTAAATTTGATAGACATTTAATAACATTTCCTCAAATTTTTCCTAATTTGAAAACTCTGGGCTGAAAGATGAAAGCAACCCATACCATCCAAATGACCCGAGCGTTTGCGTGTCATTGTGTAATGATGAATTTGCATGACTGCACTTGAGCCGCCTGGTTTGGTTTCATACTCTGATAACACAAAAAGCATGCTGGAGTGTTTTATCATTATTTTTATAATGCATGCTTATAGTTTCTATTTTTATGTCCAGTGACATTATTGATTTTTTTATTTTTTATTTATTTATATCCCAAAATATGACTTAAGAAACTGAGCCCCACACAAGCCAGTCAGTGCTTCAGACATATATGTAACGTTTTGTCTATGCGTGTTCATGTTTGTCCACCCCCTGCTAACTCACCTCTTTCACCCCGCCACACCCACACGGCAGTACGTCTCACACGCTAGCGTTAGGCCGCACGTCTAGCTCTTGCGACCTGCCCGCCAAATCCTCCTCTGCCTCCAGCCTGGAACCTAACAACTCTAAAGCCTGGCAGCAGCCTTCCTCCTACTACCAGTCTTACAGCATTCACCGCAGGTACCTGCCCGAGCACCGCCCAGCAAACACACACACACACTCCATGTCCTCCATGTGTCTTTGTGTTCCCCACACGTAGCTTCTTGCTGTCTGGGGATTTATTTGCTTATGGGGTGTAGAGTTTTACTATACATTAGAATGGACTGAATATAGTGCTGGGTGATATATTAAAATGTTTTTCACAACTAACTTGACAATTCAGTTTAATTCCGCCACTGAATAAAAAAAAATAAAAAAGGTCATTGCAACCTTTTATCGTGCAATTCTTACTTTTTTTCTCCCAATTGCGAGTTTACATCTTGCAATTCTGACTTTTCTGAGATAAAAATTCTGAATTTTTTCTCAGAATTATGAGAGAGAAACTCACAATTGCGAGTTGTAAAGTCCAGTTTTGAGGGGGGAAAAAGATTGATATGTTCTCAGAATTGCGAGTTTATACCTCACAATTTTGACTATTTCTCAGAATTACGAGTTTATATCTCACAATTCTGACTTAATAACTCACAATTGCATCTTATTAAAGTAGGAATTGAAAGTTTATATCTCGCAATTCTGACTTTATTTCTCAGAATTACGAGTTCATATCTCACAATTCTGACTTTATAACTTGCAATTGCGAGTTTATATCTCAAAATTATGAGAAAAAAAAAGTCAGAATTGCGAGAAAATTCACAATTACCTTTTTTTATTCAGTGGTGGAAATGGGCTTCCATAGCAAAATTAGCTTTCAGTTAAAGAGAAAATTCAATCAAATATTGTCAAATATAAAGTCTACAGGGTATTGTTTTAATTTAAACATTTGTCAGATGAATAAGCATTAAATAAAAACTAGATAAAAAAAGTTCAAGACAAACTTTAGGTTGGCTTGAGAAAGCCTAGCCTGAAAGTTTAAAGCAGTTGTAAAAGCCTGAAGTTTGAAAATTTAGATAGATTAGAAAGATGTTGATAATATGTTTATAGCATGATTAGCATGTTTTAGCATGATTAGCCTGTTAATAGCATATTGCTGGCATGATTAGCATTTACTAGCATGTCGCTAGCATGTTTCTAGCATGTTTCTAGCATGATTAGCATGTTACTAGCATGTTGCTAGCAAGATTAGCAAATGATTAGCATGTTGCTAGCATGACTAGCAAGTAACTAGATTGTCGTTAGCATGATTAGCAAGTTACTAGCATGTCGCTAGCATGATTAGCACATTACTAGCATGTTGCTAGCAGGTTTAGCATGCTACTAGCATGATTAGCAAGTGACTAGCATGCATATATAAAAAATGCAAATAAAGCAGTGCTTTAAATGAAATATAGAACATTGTCAGAAGTATATATAAAAAAAAGATTTCTTTATATCGCCCAGCCCTAATTTTTTATTTTATTTTATTTTATTTATATTTATTTTTTCATTTTATTTTTCATTTGTGCATTATGGACCTGCTTCAGGTTTGTTTCTTTTTTGTTTTGCTTTATTTCGCTTTGCTTTGTTTTGCTTTGCTCAGGTTTTCAGAATGAGGGAACTCTTTCCTGTTTTCTCCTGTGGTACTTCTTTTGAGAAAGTTCTTTCTCTCCTCTTATCTTTGGTTTTGTCTCTTGATTGTTGTCTGTGTTGCTGTAGCGGATCGTTTGGAAGGAAGCAGGATGATGCTTTAAGTTCCACTTCTTCCTCCACCTCCACAACAACGACCTCCACCTCCTCTGTTACCTCACCCACCGGACATCGCAGCCTGCTGTCCAGGTACCAACACACACAGCAAACTGAACATCCGAGCTAAACACTCGGACTGGGATCTGTTAGTAAATTGTGTTGATGCAAAACAGGTATTGGGCAGAAGAGAGTACGGAAAAGGAGAAGGAAAAAGAGTCGGCCACGGTCATCCCCACAATCAACACTGCAGCCACCACCACTACCACCTCCACTACTGGAACTGTGCTGGGCTCTGACGGACGAGAGAGACGCAGGTACACACACACACACACACACACTGTAACATATTATCACTGAGTGCGTTTTTACACATACTTGATTTGCTTGCAAAAACATAAAATTTGCTTAAACTCAATGTACCTTGGTAGGACATCTGGTTTGGTAATTTAAAGAAGAGCAGCAGAAGACAATAGATGTTTTCTTCAGTAGGCAGTTTTTTGTCTTTTATTTAGATTCTACGTGTCAGCATTTAAATTCAGTTTAAACAATGTATTATGTTGCAGCTCCTAATAAAGTAAGAACTGTCTTATTTATTCTCCAAAGCCTATTTTTACTCTCATTAAAGCTGCCCTGAAGAGCCTCAACAAAAGTGCATGTTGCTTCAGCTGTCGGAGTGACGACATTTAACTGAGAGGATTTTGTTTCTTTGTGTTGTGTCTGTAGATCATACCTCACCCCTGTGCGTGACGAAGAGTCCGAGTCTCAGAGGAAAGCCAGATCCAGACAGGCACGGCAGTCCAGGAGGTCCACACAGGCAAGTCTAGACAATCATCTAAACGCCTCTGCAGGAAGTCTCTCTAATAATAGACAGATCCACACAGTGCTGTTTACAAATTTTTTTTTTTTTCTGAAATTTTCTTGGTTCTTGCTTCGGTTTTGGTATGTGCTTCCTGGAATTTATTACATCCTGAGCTCTGCGATGTGGCAGGGATTTATGGGAGAAATAACTGTTTACAACAGAGAGATACCTGAGTTTTTTCCTATTCAAAAGCAAGGCCTTATTGGTAGTGACTAAGCGGCTCAACATAAAACACCATAATTGAATATTTACTTTAATTATATATCACATAATCATGTGGTAATTCCTGAGTGTAAAGAGTGAAAAATTTCTTAAATTGGGTGAAGTTTAAAGCTGTTAAAGCTGAAGTTTAAAGCTCCACCACCAGTGTGCAACATCCACCTGGATGATGCGACGGCAGCCATAGTGCACCAGAATGCCCACCACACACCAGCTCATTGGTAGAGAGGAGACAGAGTGATGAAGCCAATCAGTATATGGGGATGGTTAGGAGGCCATGATGGTCAGAGGCCAATGGGCAGATTTGGATGCCGAGGTCACACCTCTACTCTTTTCGAAAGACATCCTGGGATTTTTAATGACCACAGAGAGTCAAGACCTCGGTTTAACGTCTCATCCGAAGGACAGTGCTTTTTGACAGTATAGTGTCCCTGTCACTATACTGGGGCGCTAGGGCCCACTCAGACCACAGGGTGAGCACCCCCTGCTGGCCTCACTAACACCTCTTCCAGCAGCAACCTAGTTTTCCCAGGAGGTCTCCCATCCAGGTACTGACCAGGCTCAACCCTGCTTAGCTTCAGTGGGCAACCAGTCTTGGGCT